GGGAGCCCGATGTGGGACTCGATCCCAGGACCCTGGGATCATGACCTGAGCCGAAGGCAGACGCTTAACGACTGAGCCACCCAGGCGCCCTGAAATCATGATATTTCTAACAAAATATTTATGGAGGAAGCAAAATAAATTCTTCATTCTGAATGTTTATTATAGGCATGTCTGAATTCATCTCTTACATACATTTATTACCAAATTTGGGGTACCTACAGAAGAGATAGCACTTAAGATATTTTATTTGTCTTCTTGATAGACTTAAGATATCATACCCAGAGTTAAACTCTTTATGTATTTATGATTACAGGAATAATTTTATATGTATATTTAGATTTGCAGAGAAGTTAAATAGAACCTATTATCAGTGTAATTGAGGCCAAATAAACAAAGCAACATTCTGAATAATGCAAACACAGTAAACGTTTAACCTCCTGCCACCTTGATAAAACCTCTTAAATTATTAAATCAATATACCTACACAAAACTGACATACTGTCAGGATAATGGAAACTTTAGATTTTTTAAGTCAGATGCCAGATAAATAACTTTTCCTTTATATAAAGAATTTGCCCGCTTGTCCAATTCCTCTGGTTGCAAAGCTTGACCCCAGTAGCTGCTTGTGATTCAGAGAATTCTGAGGCAGCACAAGTAATGACACTTGGATAATGGGCAGCAATTTAAGGGTGTCATGCTTCAAGGAGCCAGCCCATCACAAGGAAGGCTGAGAAATGGTACCCTGTGGCCAGGCAGCCAGATTGAAACTGAAGTGGTAATTGATATCATGGGCTATCACTCTAATGGGATTGTCACCCATTGATCTGAAATATTCATTTTTTAATCACGGGCAAAGAATTGGACAACTTCAAATGACAGCTCTCTATTCTCAGGACTTGACACCCAGGCTGCCAACATTGTTCTTTTCAGTTCTACAAACGTGACAGCATTTAATGCAATAGAATCAATGGATGAAGTTACACAGGAAAGGTCAAGTGAGAGGTTTCTTTTTGGCTCTTCTGTTATATTGCACTAGCTGTTGAAACAATTCAGTCAGAAAACAGTTTGGCTTGGAAAAGACTGGAAAAATAAATAGACTGACATTATGCAATAATTGTTTTCTAACAGCTGAAATAGCGTCAGATCTATAACCAGTCCGTTGAGAGGAGAGAGCTGCTGCTCTTTTTAAATGTCGTCTGACATCTTTGACACTAGATTTCTTCCATTTTGGTCAACAACAGTGTTTTCCCCCTATCTTGCTCTCTTCTTTTTGGTCCAGCTTGTTTCTGTTTCTGCAGAAGAGGACACCCGCTAGCCCTTATTGAAGTCGGGTCTACAGTGGTGTTATTTCAAAGGGTTTCTTTCTTTCTTACTGTGTGCTGAGTTGGAGGTTGAACCTTGACTTTTGGGAAGTGTTGGGTTAATTAGTGCCAAAACCATTTTTGTCTTTTTTAATATATAAGCAAAAGCCATAGTCTCTCAGCAGACATGAGGAATCCTTTGGGCATATGTATACATTCTCACACACACACACACACACACACACTCTAAAATTTTTGAAAAAGAATTTGCAGATGTTTTCCTTCCTTGCCTGTGCAGGTAGCATAGAATATAAAAATTGCCATTTTTTTAACTTTATAAATGGAATTTATCCGACGGAGTAACCAATATTGGAGAATGTCCCTTTGAATAAAAGACACTGGTTTTAGTCTTTTTGCAAAGTTTGACTTGGGGAGGAAGGAAGTTGCATGAGGAAAATAAATATTGGGCTGATACCCAGAGAAAATAAATGTTAGTGTGCATTTATTATTTCTTTATGTTTATATGGCCTTCAAAAATGCATAGAACAGGGCTTTTATCTCTTTTTCTATAATTATATGTGATTATTACATGCCTTATCCATAATAGAATTGTACATATTGGCCCATTTTTATTTTGGGGATTTTAACGTGTTTTTATATTTGGTACTTCTTGATTGCCTGAAGGTAGTAAAATGTTGGTTTTTCCCAGTTAGCTTTGAGTGTAGATTTCTAATCTTCTGGAGAAGTAAATGTGTTAAAAACGTGGGTTACTTTGTAAAACTACTGTTCCATTTAGATATGGAAATTCAAAAATAAAATATCTAATTTTCCTGCCATATCTTTTTTTATACCCCACCAACTCACAGCCACATAGCCCCAAATTCATATGTAAATAAAGCTTCCAAAAGGTCAACAATACAGTATTTTGAAAAATTTTTCAAATCCTGGAATATTCCAGGATCTTTCAGAAACAGGTACCTTGCTAAAAATACATCTTTATTAAATAGGTATACTGCTGAATAGAAGGGGATTTGTTGCTGCACATTGTATAGAATATTTCAAATAACAACATCTACTTATCTTTGTGAACAAATAGGGGTGTTAACTAGAATTCATTCAATAAATATTTTTTGAGCCTGGTGCCAGGTACTATTTCCAGGATGGTAACAGCCTTGTTCTCTACAGGACATAATAATAGGATTTGCAGTAGCCTCAGGCCAAGAATAATTAGCAAAAATAGTAAACTTTGTCTTTTGGCAAGGAACAGTTTTTGATACACTAATAATAATAATATAGTAATTTTGAATGTAATTTTTAGGTACTCTCTCTGAGTATACTCTTGCGTGATTGTTAATATTTATGTAACATCTGTATCGAAGATTGAGTCTTTGTGACATAAAAAGCTTTCATTCATAAGTTTTTAAAATTATGATCATTTTACTTCTATAGCACGTTTTCAGTTTTTGAAAAATACCCCTATAAAAGAGTATCCTGTGACAGTGACAGTATTAAATTTAGTTTCTTCCTTTATAAAATGAGAATAACCATTCCCTCTAATTCTTAGGAAGGCTAAATGAGATAATGTATGTAAAATGATTTAAGAATTTGTGAAGCTTGATTTCAAATACAAAGAATATTAATATAATCAAATTGCCTCTAACCTCAATAGGCAGCTTTTTCTTGTGACAGGGAGCATCTATTAAAGGTTAAAGTAATGAAGGTGGAATGTTTTGCAGAGACAAACCTTTCGGCATTGATGCCTTTAGGGATTTAAATAGAATTATGGAAAAATAATAACTGCTTCCAGAGAGATGACAGCTACCTTGTGGGCCCCAATATCAGTGTCACAATATTTTTTTGGAGCTAGCTTGACTCTGGAGAGGTCAGCAAAGTAAACAGTTGCACTGAGGGGCCAGGTCACTCAAGTGTGGGTTTCTCTAAATGGTCAACTGCTTTTAGGCTAGAATTGGGGCTGTGGCCTTCCCACAGCTTGTTTTAAGGGAATAGAAAGGGCTCAGCACTGAGTCCATATGTGTGTGATGCTGGGGTGGGAGGTGGGGTCTGGGATTGGAATGGATGGAAGTGTATTAGATTTAAGAAAGTGTATTTTGGTGGTTATCTCTTTTATATATAAGTAATAATGAATATTTAGAACAAAAACAGTTTTGTGAAAAAGGAAAAGGCCTATAATTTGAACTGTAATGCCCTTTGTTTTTATTGACATTATTTATATCTGGAGGGTTTTCCTTTTAAGGAAAAGGAGATGTCAGGGGGACAGTATTTAAGTCCTGCCCCCTCCCCCAAACACCCCCAATAGATTCACTATAGGAAAACAATTACAAATGGGGAATAAAATGCTTTCAGTTAGAAAAATTAGTTCTGCATTTGTGTGTTCAGTAATAGAACTTGTTGAAATGTATATTAGAAGCAAGAAAGGAGTCTCCAAAGTAAAATTCTTTGTGTTGACATTAGTGTTTGTGTTTTCCCACAGTAACTTTTTTCAAACTTTGTTTTTGTTTAGCATTTAGAAGAAGAAAAACTGGATGGCCTTATCAATGAAGCTTCTAGGTATTCATATTTAAAGTATATATTGATTACTGGCTAATTGGAAAGAGAAAATTATTATGAAAACCAAACCAAAGTGAGAAATATAAAAACATAGTCAAGGAAAATTCGTTGTCTTTTTCCCCTGTAATTGAATTATTGCTACTTACAATGGTCTGATAACTAAAATTTTATTTAAAACTTTTTTTTTTTTTTAAATTTTAAATCTGA